TATATTAATATATAATAATATTATGTATTCATTACTTTTATTTATTGTACATCTTGTAATGTATGTCTTATAGGTCTTTTATTTTTTCATTAAAGAACTTTTCTCTGTCTCACTTAAATTACATACTATTTCTTGAGAAAATAAACAAACAATACGAAAAACGTTATCATGGACCATCTTACGACGATCTCGATTTACGTCACGTAAAGTAAATCACACGAAGGGAAAGTATTCGACATATTTGTCTTCGTTTTCTGTTACAAATTAAACAAATATATGTTTGCTTTGGAACAAAGCAAAACAAGAGCGAGCGTCGAAAAGAGTAAACTTGTGAAATGTGAATCTATAACTCTTCGTGGCAAGACAAAAGCTACAAGACGCGGATGCGCAGTAATGCAACGTATTCAGATATAATAACACTACAAAATCTCTACCCCTGCAGGGGTCTGCTTTTCAAAGAGAAACATATAGAGGAAAACTTAATTTTAAATTATGTTATATGTTATGTTGCACGTGTGTTGCATCTTCAAACCACCTTTTTCAACCTTTTCCGAGAATCCCCCTCGCTGGGGAAGTACTTTCTAGGATTACTCGTCATCGTCACGTCTTTCATCAATCCACGATCTCTCTGAAGATTTGACAGTGTTGAAAATGTAATTCAAAGAACAAAAAGAGAGAGAGAGAGAAAAAGAAACTCTCTAAATTCTAATCGGCCTAAATGCAGGTGAAAGATGCCTTTAATCTCTTTTAAGAGGTCAGGTGGACTTTCTTTACAGTCTTTCCGATTCTCCACCCACTCAGGACGCAGTCTACGTGCCGTGTAATTATCTGAGGGCAATTAAGGTGCCATGAAGCGCTCGTGCAGTCGCGATTACCCTAAGTTCTGCGTGGCGCCTATATGGCGATTGGCGAGTAATCGAATACCTTATACTGATAACCGCGGGTGAGATGGAAATCAGGCTGAAGAAATATATCGAATATGATCTGCTCATAAGTATCAGGCGCAAGCAAGCAACTGAGAGGATGTGTGTCAACTCAAATCTCCGAGATAATCATCCCAAATAGAAGCTACCGGATCAATTTAGAATAAGGCAAATATCAACTTGTCGTCAAAGCAAAATAGTTTCCACAGGTAATTTCTGATTTACACAATCCAAATTTAGAGTTTATCCGATAGATTTAAATTCTCTCGTATAAGTAAAAATAATAAGTATAACTAAAAATAACATATATATATATAATAAAATAATAAGTGTAAGTATAAGTAAAAATAACATATATATATATATAATAATATATCATAAGAATTATTAATTGATATAATAATGACATTTTATTATTATACTTTATTTGTTTGTTATGTTAATATGTAATTATTTTATTATAATTAGTAGAATATAAATTTATCAGACATGGTTATTTTATTCTGAAAATCTACAAATTTAATCATATAAAATACCTTGTAACATTATGTTAAAACAAATATTCGATTGAAAAACTAGGAAGAACTTCTAAATTATCTTAAAGAAAAAGTGATGTAGGATTAAAGTTTGTATCATTATGTACAGATATATCGGAATAGAGAAATTTTTCTTTGAAGGAGTTTTCTATATTTCTAAACTAATATTTCTACTAAGAAACACAATTGCGCACATATTAGATCATATGAAACGGACTCAGTACGTAATTAAATATAGATATGTAATTATAATAATTAAACATAATTATTATTATACTTAATATTATTAAATAATTATCGCATACAGTACATTTACACTTTTTACATTTTGTTACATTTTGTTTTACGTTTTACATAAAGATCAATTCGTCACGGAAAACCTCTGTTATTTCTCTGATTTGCATATATTGTTTTCCCTCGGACACAAACAAGTCGAGAGCCGTATCATGGTCTGGCCCACGGGCAACCTGTGTTTTACGTAAAGTCATACAAGGGAAAACATTCGACGTATTTTTCTTTGTTTTCTAAACTGACAACGTCGGTATGCGATGAAACCCTCGAAGGAGAAAATAAACAGCCCGAGCCCAAAATGGAGATGAAAATGCGAGGGAGCATCACGTCCGTATGTGTAGCATGTGGAAGATTATTGTCCAGTGTCCCTCTCTTCATCCTTTCTTTTTGTTCTCTTTTTGCAGTCGCATATCATACTTTTACACGGTATATTTATATACGAGTAACCATTATAGAGATGAAAACGTCCAATTATAATGTTCAACCATTGAACTTTAGCTGCATATATTTTTATAACCCTCGTTGTTATTATTGTTGTTATTATTATTACTATTATTCGCGAGCGATAACATGAAAGGGAATATTATTATCTTCGTTTAATCTGGCGGCTGTTATCTTCGCGAGAATAGCAGCGAATTGTAAGCCGAGAATGCAGTTACGCGCAATGTGATGATATGATTTCAATATATGGCGCATATTCAGGGCTGGCATTTTATTTGAAAAACAGTATTTGCGAAACAAGTGTATTTTGTATTTTATATTTCAGCGGAGCACATGAAAATATTTTGTACTTTGTATTTTATGGGAGCATATAAAAATATTTTGTATTTTCTATTTCAGTATTAATAACAAAAGATTGTAAATGTATTTCTTTAAAGATATCAGAAGATTTGCGGGTTATCGCCCGTGTTTTTGTCCATTAAGAATCACGGCAAGGTTCGATCACGAGACGTTGGCATTAACAATGGACAAAAACATGGCGATAACCCGTAAACCTTCTGGTATCTTTAAAAATAACAACGAAAACCTAAAAAGCGTATTTGTAAGCGCCTTATCAAGTAAATTTCTTATTTTTTATTTCAAATATTAAGATTGACAATTAATCTTATATTTTAACTAGAAAATTTAAAAAAACTTTCAATCTCTTTCGATGTTAAATACGAAATACATAATCCTTTCATGTGCTTCGCTGAAATACAAAATACACAAAACACACTTCCTGCCGGGAAAAAAATGTTATATACATATTGTTATGGACATATTTTATATATAATTGTATATAATTTTTTTTACATAATTATATATAATATTTTGTATAATTTTTATATAATTATATATAAAACATTTTTTTCCGGATTGCGCTGCAAATACTGTGTTTTAAATCAAAGTATTTCAAATACATGTCTCTCAGCCCTGCACGTTTTATTGCAATTTCATAATACGTAACTGTGAAGTGAAACGAGTCGTTCGTTTACTCGACATTTCGATGTAATATACACAATTATTTCCCTGCATATTTGCAGAATATATCATTTCAGAAGAAAGCTCGAGTTTCAAGTCGGAATCCGGCTGCGCATTCCGGCGAGCGGATCGATATTGTAAGCAAAATTTATCGCACTTTCAACGCATGTTTATTCTTACCTGAGTAATCTACTCTCCCGGGTGCTGCTACAGCAGCTGGTAGAGGAAGTAACGCTGTTGATGCTTCTGCTACGGCGTGTCTTCAACAAATCGCCCAAATTGTTCACCCCATTTGCCGTTATGGAGAAAGACCGAAGTCTATAATACTCAATGCCATCCTCAGTCTCACCTTCTTCGCACCCCGTTGCGCCACCCCCGCGTCTTGTATCGACCAGCATTGGCTGCAAAAAATAATAACAATTACTTTGTCCGATCGTCATTTAGACGTTTATTGGTCTATTTACTGTGACTGAACTAGTGTACACTTTTGGAATTTAAAGTGAGATAAATATAGGTAGGCTAGTTGCGCATAGGGGCAAGTTAGGCAAATGCAAATATCTAAATAACCAAAATATATACAGATACGTCTATGCTTGTGTAAGATAGCACAAAGACGGAGATTACTGTATTTAATACAATAATCTGTGTCCGGCTGTCAACAGCCAAACATACGCTTTTTCATTTTCGTATATCAAAAGTAATATTATTAGGTGAGTATTCTTTTTAGTAATTAAAGCGATTAATAACAATCAAATGTGTTTTTTTAGATATAAGTTATTAACATATTTTTTAACTTTAATGTTCAAGTTGCTATTCTATTTAAGGTTTTTCAGTGATAAAATTTCAGTTAACACCGATATGGGAGCCCAATATCCCCACTATTAACTTATAAACTCAGCTGCTTAAATGAAAATCTATCTTTATCGATGCTTTTTATTCTATGTTAACGATTAAACATATTATTTTACGTTTAATTATTATTATAAACAGTAAAGATTTTAGCTTTTCTAGTTTTGTTAATTAAAGCATTTAAAAAATGAGAATATTACAAATCATTATATTTGAGATGAAAATTTGATTGATGTATACATAATTTTTTCATGTTCTTAATAATATATAACCTCATTAAACGATTATCGTCATGGCTGAGCTTATCCTTTGAGGATGTTCAACTACTTGAGAGTGTTCCATAAATGAGGCATATTGATTCACTTTGCATCCTTGTAATTAACGTAATTTTTTCTCGTTTACGAGATATATTATGGATTTAGTACTTAATTATTGAGTCAGAGGAACATGCAACGTTTTAAAGCATTTACCATTAGTCTATCATAATTGAGTGAAGATTTATAACTTGAAGAAAAAGTATTACAACTAGTCCCGCTCTACTCTATGTTTGACATTTAGCGAAAGCGAGAAAGAGATTAGAGAGTTTTTGCAATACCGTTTATCCAGATACGATGAACGCTAAGATCAGGGTAGCGATCATGTAACTTTTTCCCTAGGGTGGAAACGTAAAAAGTGAAAATTCTTTATATGTATGTGTGTGTATGTACGAACATACATACATAAAAATTTGCACTTTTCATGTTTCCGCTTTAGCGAAAAAGTTACACGATCGCTACCAAGATTATCTTTTTCTTAACAATTAAGAAAAGGATAACATGACTTTAGCGTTCACCGTATCTGAATTCACGTTATTGCAAAAACTCCCTGGTACTAGCGCAAAGATAAAAAATAGACCTTGTATCTATATCTATATTCTTGGAGGAAGCAAATTTTAATCTGACCGCTTGGAAATCGTTAGAAACGATTATCGTTAAAATTTTTATTCTAATTCTTCTGATTTTAAATTTTCAACAAAGTATTCTGACAAGGGAAGTGTTATGGAACTCAATAAAATTGAAAATTTTTATTTTGATTTTAAATCTTTTTTCAGTATATTCTAACAAGGAAATACAGAAAATCCGCTCTGATTTTAAAGCTTTTAATCTATTGTAGTCTCATAGACTAAAATAAGAAACACGTATTTTTTATACGTACTCTTTTTTCTTCTAAAAATATGGCACATACTTTTAGAGGATAAACACCTCTTTCAAGAAAATCCATTATTCTCTTTTGAAACGAATAGCATCGGAACTATAAAGGATGAAAAAAATGAATGGTTTCAAGAATATTCCCATACAGCAGAAATGTTCGAAATAAATCAGAGAGATATTCTAAAAATATCACAAAATATATCTTTGAGATGTCTCTATGATGTATTTTGGACACATCTGCTGTTTTATAATAATAATAAAAAATTTATTTTAAAAAGTCTTTAAAACAATAAAAAATTAGACTTCATTATTGTAAAACAGTTTTAAAACTATTCGACTCTTTTATTAAAAAAAAAAAGTATTTCTATCTGTTACAATTTTGCTTCGAAAGAAACTAACCGATTGGATGTTTTACCTCCTAAAAGTGCGTATGGCCACATATAAAAAAAATACGTATTCATTATATTTGACCTAGATTGTGCTTTGACATATTAACACTCGTCAAAATCGAAGAGAGACATTTTTCTGTATTTCCTCGTAAGTATTATATGTTCTAACGTATAAATGAAACAATTTCTAATACACTGCATTCTGATACTCCACTTACTGTCAGTACTGAAAATTTACAACATACGTTATATGCACTTTAGATTTTCAGCATTGACGGTGAATATCGTCGAACGTAGCCTGAAAATGAATAATCCCATCATCCACAAACATCATCATTAATCAACAGATTCGGTGTTGCCCGTGATATTTCAATGCGATTTGCCGACATTCATTGATTGAATTATGAGTTACATGACATAAATCGATGTATAAAGTTCTGTAAATTTTATCGAGCGGCGGGCATGCCGCATCAACATATCCATATACTCGTCTGTCTTTCGCAATTGCGGAACGGAGCGGAAAGGTGGCAGAAATGGCGATGCGTTCTCGAGTGTGGTATTAGGGTTGCGATGAATCCTAACATGTTCGCTAATCGATGCGAAACACATCCAATGACATAATTGTCGCGTTCCATTGTTCCATTTGTCCGCATGTCTGAATAACGTGAATACAGAAATTTAATTGAATGTCGATTCGAGAATATCGATAGTTTGAATTTATCTCACATGCTCTTCCCCAATTAAGTTCATTTCTTTGGTAATGAGAAACTCAATGGTAAAGCTCATGGTAAAAGCTTGAGAAATATATATCACGTCACGCTATAGAAATCGCAATATTAATTTTCTCCTCTTACTTCTCACGAGAAGTTAACATTAACCATATTTTCGTTGCATCGAAGAAACCTCGCATATGTTCGAATTACATCGCAGCTTCAATTTGCTGAGTCCCTAGTCGCTTAATAAAACAAGAAGGCACGATCCTAACGACGAAGATAAAACGTGAGAAACAAATTGAAATTATTCTCGGTCTCTAGAGATAGAATATTAAATTAAACATATATACGTAGTATATTATTGTATAATATTAACCTAATAATAATACGGGGGGATTATAAATTTATTAAAAGTAAATTTAAAATATAACACAATTATACAATATATAAATTCAAAGTATGTAATTTGGAGTCTTTAGATAATTAGATAATTAAAACTGATTGATTGAGAAAACTTTTGTAATGATATCCGTAATAACGTATTCCAGTAATATTTTCTGTCACTGTAGCACGAATACAATTTATCTCACGCATATTGAATTTGTAATGGAAGTCCCGAGTTTCGCAGATCTTGGAAAAAATGCGAGGGACATTTTTAAAACAGGATATCACCATGGCAAAGGTCTTGTCAAATTCAATATCAAGACCAAAGTCACCAAAAAATTCCAGCTGATGAGTGACACAACATTAAATTTCGAAGTATCAAAGGTTGAGAATTATTATATGCATCTCTCTCTCTCTCTCTCTCTCTCTCTCTCTCCCTCTCTTTCTCTTTAATTTAGATATTTTTAAGTCCTTAATAATTAAATTTTGGTCATTTTATCTACATTAACGATATCGCTAAATATTTGCTTATTATTTTGTCAATTATTCGTGGGAAAAGCAAACGAATGGTGCGGATGATCGCTTATCTCGCGAAAAATTTTACATGGAAACGTAGCTGAATCAACTATTTCAAGCGGCAATATTTGCATTTAATTACATATCGGATTATGCAGACAATGTAAGCGTATCACTGAATTCGAACTCGCAACAACTGTTGCTTTAAGCTCGGAAAACTGATCGATTTTTATGTTTTATGGAAACTACACTTACACAACAATATTTTGATGCACATAAAATATTTATCAGCATTAATAAATTGGATAAATGTTATTTATTTTTATTTGTTAAATCACGTATGATCAGTTTATATCATAATGCATTTCAATAACGATATAAAATAATACATCAGAATTATATCAACTGAATATTTGAATTAAATAATCTTGGGTATCTTATTGGGTTTACTTGGATGTTTCAAAAGCAAGGCAGAAAATTGGAAAATTTATTCATAATGAATTAATAATAGTTAACCGGATTAATGGAAACAAAGTACAAGGCGGATGCTGGAACTCTGCTGTTAAAATGGACGACCGATGGTGTGCTTTTTCTGGGATACGAGTTTAATGAGCTGCTAATGAAGGGCGTTGATTTGCTCTCCGAGTGCTCTTACAATCCGGAAACGGCTGCGAAAAGCGTGAAAGTCGGCTCGAAGTTTGTCAGCGAAAGAATGAACGCATACTGCGAGATCTGTTAGTCATGTTAATTTCTTTAAATCTAATTAACTTTACGTATCGTATTTCTTCCGCGTTTAAAGGCGTACATGATCGCGTTCTCTTGAATGTTGATCGCTTCGTTCAATAATGCCCGCGGACTTACCGGGTTTCCCTGTAAAGCACTAGCGGCAAAATTCATAGAACAAATTCATCCTCTATTTATAAAGTTTCGCAAGGTAACGGCTTTGGCCAGGGCGCTTCTTGAATGATGGATAAAGGGCTTCATATATGTACTATGCTCACGTCTAAGGGAAGAAAACTAATTATATACTATAATCGAAACTTTTTTATCGGCCTCGTCTAGAAAAAAAAAACTATTAAAAATATCAAATAAAACTATGCCGTTAAAAAATATCTATTCCACACGTACAATTACTGAAAAGGTACACGTATTAATAATATTAAACGTAGAAAGTGGCACGTGTTCTTTTTACACAAAATCAGACCACTTTCTAATATTACGAAATACAAGAGGCATTTCCGTAATTAAATACTCCGTTCGTAAAATAGTAAAAAGAATCGAATATAAAAAATTACTGTAGAGCGACGAGTTTTCTACAGTAAATCTCTTTTCCTCCATTCCCCTCTTCTCCCATAGTGTCTAATTAATTATTTCAGAGAGACGGCAGCGGCAAATGATATTCCCGATGTTCTTTTGTATGTGAAATGAATATAGAAATTGAAATAAAATCAAACTCACGCAGAAACGAAAGGAACGTGTTCCTTCAGCTCGCTATAATATGTACTCGTATACTCCTCTGGAGTAATTCGCTACAAACTTTCTCCCTTGTCTCGCGCTTCGTAACAGAGATTGCACGTTGCGTAACACAGAGGGAAACTTTAATAAATAATTCCCTCTCCCCAAGCAAACTCCTTTCCAATATCACGCAAAGTTCACAGGAACAATAGCGGAACCGCATCCCGAATGTTTACTAACAAGCCGCGGCAATTTCCGTGAACACAAGTTTCCGCGATGGCGACCGATACACAAGCACTTCCGCAAGCCTGCGGACAGCCGCACACTGTCGCAGTCACGAGGCAGTCACGTTCGATATGAAAACATATCCGCAGGGGAAGAGCTTTTGCCATTATACATTTTTCAGCGAAATAAAAACGCATTGCAAATGGACGCGCGCGGAAAGGCGGGTGAATTACATTTCAGGAATTTCGATAGTGAGACAGCTTTTTTTGCGTCCAATTAAATTTCGATAAACGAAAGAATTAGATTCTCCTTTATTTTTCGATATAGGAAAACGCGGAAATCGAAACATATCCCGTACTCGGTTACATGCGAGCAATCCGACGGTATCACATGTTGAATCGTCGAAATTACTAGATTTCTTGGTTTGCAGCCAACGATTTGGATTCGGGTACCAATTTGCTCGGTTCGGTGGTGGTGAAATGCCGGGATCTGCTTCTGGGCTACCAGGGTGGCTACGACACGGCCTCGAACAGCATAACGAAAAACGACGTCGGTGTCGCTTATGGTTTCCCCGACATCGACCTGCACTTTCGATGCACCTCTATACCGCACGTGTATGGGCTCTCCGTGTTGTACAAAGGTAAAAGTTGAAAGATCCGCGAGATAAAGATAACGCGATTTTTCCATGAGCAACCCCCGCGCGATATTCCCTTGAAATTGCCAACACCGCCGGCGAGAGAATAATCATCCTCGTGACAACAGAGTAATTTCAGTCTTCCTCGTAATATCCTCCCATATTATTCATTGCCTCTCGCGTCGCGAAATCGCGACGTCGTCGTCAACTAGAACGGAAACTGCTAAATTACCGCTGTCTTTCCCACGTGTTAAGTAAATGGGGGATTAAACGTGCCTGGCTTATACGAGCGTAATGAGATCCTGTCGCTCCTGTGTTCAGATAGGCGGAATACGGACGTGTAATACAAATCGTTTAGCACATATCGGCTCATGTCAAGGTAGCGTTATCAATTTTCTCGAGGGAAGGAATCGGGAGGACGAAAGTAGAGAGAGAGAGAGAGAGAGAGAGAGAGAGAGAGAGAGAGAGAGAGCGATAATTAGTAACGTGTAGAGAGTCCGTGACAGCGTCGTGTAATTGTGACGTACAACAAAGCTCAGTAAACCGACACCATCGAGATTACGTAATGCTACACGAGGTCGATGACCTCTCACTTAGAATTGGATTAAAATTATGTGCTTTATACGTAACTTTTAATTATCCGAGATAGCTAAACCTGTCAAGACCATATATTGCAAAATTATGTTACATATCGCTCACTTATTACAACGACATAACTAAAAAATTGCCATTTTTTTTTTTTTAGTTGCCCATAGAAAAAGAACAGAAACACGCAGAAAAGAAAGAAAGAACATAAAAGAACATACTTTTATTCTTCTGCAATTAATTATTATATATCAAAATTGGAAGAAATTTTAAAATTAATATTATAAAATTTTAACGCTTCAAAAATGTTTAAATTTATTTTCTGGATTTGGTTTTTCAGAAATTGTGCCATTATATTGTAGTAAATGAGCGATATTATGTTAGTAGTTCCAGGAACAGAGAGTCTGCTGTTTTTTTTAATATCAGTGTATCAAAGAATAAACCCTGTATTATCTGCACATTATGATAGCAAGGTATGTTCCATTCCTGCTGCATTTCTGTGATTATATGTTAATTGACTGGCACATTACAATAAAAACTTAAAAAAAAAAAGGATTCAGTACATAGAGCAGTAAATCTGCTCTCTATAATTATGATTGAATTTATTGGCACACGCTAGCATTTTTGCTATTTGAGATGTTAATTTTTTAACAGGAGCTGCGTTTTCAGGACGATACTTATAATAAAATAATAATAATAATAATAATAATAATAATAATAACAACAATGATGATAATAATCATCCGGTTTGGTATTTTTAAATGAAAATGTTGAGTATTTCTCAATTATCGTTTCGTTCTATCGATCGTGATACTTCATCTGCTCTTCAGCGAGACACGACTTGGGCATCGCTGCGAACGGAATATACGCGAAACGAGGCGACGTGCAAAAATGGACAGTCGGCGCCGGGGCGAAGTGCAAGCTCGACGAGAGGTCGACCCTGCGATTTAAGTTCAACACTGATCTTCAGTTAGCCACAAGTCTCCTGCAAAAGATCAGCGACGGTGTCACGCTGATTCTTTCGTTCAACATAGACTGCGCGAATGTCACCAGAGGTGGTCACAGAGTGGGACTGGCACTCAACGTCGATGCTTAAGCTCACAAATCTTAATTTACGACGGATTTGCATGTGTGCATGCAAATCTCGGATTTGTGATGTCCTTTGTATTGTCTATTGTACGTGAATGGTTGTAAAATCTCACCGACGATCGACCACATATCAACCATGGGATGTAACTGAATTTTTCTTTTATATAGAAATCTGTGAATCTGCGTGAGAATTAATAAAGAATTACTAAGAATTAAAGATTGTTAATAAAATATTTCTCTTGGAATAAGAAAATAAAAGAAATCTTTTTCTATAAATTACTGTACTTGAAATGATTAATTTTACTTAATATTTCCTCGAATATTTCTGACAATTGACAGTTGACGCAGAATTTTTTAAGTCTCAACGGTCTTAACGACACGTCCACTGCAGTTTCTAGGGAAATGAAAAGAAGAGTTAATGAATTACGTAGAAAAGCCATTATTTCTCCAGGCACATCATCGTTCCGATTTTTCATTTTCAGTTGCGCGATCGCGTTACATGGAATATCGATGAAATTCGGAAAAGGTGGCGATCACAAGGGTAATATCCCCAGCTCCATTGTGTGCTTCTACCGTACACTGTTTGGCGAAATTTACGCACTCCGTATTCATTTCACTTTTCAATACGCGTGAAATCACCGTCATCGTTACAGAGAAAGTCTTTCGGCCACGGTTTCGCGGTATCTTTCACAATGGCCGAGGAAATTAACTCAGCCACGTGCGCCATCGATCTATGTACAATATGTACATACATGAGACTCATCGTTACGTATCCCGTTATATTTGCTTCTTCCTTGAATTCACAAATTGTTATAAATTATTCTCTCCTTTCCTCTTCCCTCCCTCTTATGACAAGAGAATACGTAGAATATCTCTATACACAAGGAAAAAAAACATAGATTGTAGTTCAGCAAAGCTATGTCTTGCTGCGCGAGTTTAGCATTTATAACTTAGGAGATTCGATGGTACAAGAAATTATGTCTGTCAAGTAATTATCGGTATGCAAATTCAGTTAATTTTTTACTACAACAAAAATTGTTAATATAATAAGTTTTCTTCGTTACAGCAGCAAAAGTCCGCACCATTTTAGCTATTTTTATAGCTAGCATGTTTTGTTGAAAATTTTGATTTGTACACTGGATTGATTGTTATGGAAAAATACTTTGCTGTATTAACAGATCTGCTGTGCTATTACAACAAATATGATTACCTATAATCACTAATTTTATTCAGCTGTACAACTTTTCTACTTTAACATAGAAAATCAACTGTCGTATATTATAACTTAGAAATTAGATAAATATAAATGAAGTTTTTAATTGTTTTAACAAATTTTTTTTACCGAAAATTTCTCTCTAAATCTCGTAGAGTGAAATCTCACTCAAAGAGACTGAAAATTTAGCCTGTCTTGAAAAAAAAAAAGTGAAAATGCAGTCACTCTTGTTCAAGAGTGGCAGATTTTTACTCTTTTAATACGAGATTTTCACATTCCAAAGGAGTGAAATCTCAGTCCCTTTTTTCGAATGTAATGCAGGATAGAACCTCACTCTAAAAAAGAGATTGTGATTTTACTCCTTCGAAGTGAATCTCATTCCAAAAGAGTAAATGTTACTTTGAAAAGTAAGTAAATCTTACTAAATTTCCAATCTCTTCAAGTGAGATTTCACTCTACGAGAGATTTAGAGAGTTCGGAGGTCGATTTTTTATCCCATATACTCTTACCCTATGACGTGGGACCGCCGGCATGCTGCTCGTTCTGCTGCGATACTGTTTCGGACCGGCACCTCCACGAATGCCGGATGCCAAGCCAGTCGAACCGGAAGGACTCGTCGGACTGGGACCGCTCGGGCTCGCGTTCGCGCTTAGATGCGATGACGATGACGCGGCGCCAGGACTCAGCGACGGTGTTCTGGTCGGGCTCCTAGGTGAGGGCGATAGGTGACCCCAAGGGCCAGCCTCCGTTTGCAGAAATCTATCGTGCAGAAATAGAACGTTGTCATAGGCACGTGCCACGTCGCGTCGTGGGCAATCCCGTCCTCGCATAAATCCGAAACTTTTCAATCAATTTACAATTCCGCGATTCGCTGAAAAGTTCCAGCGTCAGTAGCCGATCCCAGATTTAAGACGCTAAGGATTACATTTGAACGCTCGTTGGACAGATTGATTGCCGGCGCGGACGTCAAGCGAACTACTATACCGGTACAACAATGAATCACTTTTACGAGAAGACAACCTGTGTAAGTCCGGCGTGGGTCTGGCAACTGCAATGCTGGAACTTCTACGTCTCGAGGTAGTCGGTGACTTCGGTCCATCCACGCAGCTGTGACCCTGAGATCCGGACAGCGAAGTGTGTTGAACACGGACCTCGACTTCGCTGCTCCGCCTCTGGAAAGCCCTTTTGCTCCAGCGTCGGCCTTTTCCTTCGACGCTCATGCTGTCTGGCTTTCTGCAAATTTCCGGCTCAGCAGAGACAAGAACTACGTTCGAAAACATCACCCGAGTATCCCCCTGTATCCTTGCTGTTCATCCAATGTTAAGCTAAAGCTAAGATGATACGCCCGGATTTCCGAACGCAGCTAAGAATACCCGGATACACAACGTTCCCTGCGTTTTGCGTAGCAACTTTCGGAGCAGTATAATCCTATTTTTACGCATGCATTACGCTATCGATTTTGTTTGCGTATAAGCACTCTATTTCCGCTCCTCGCATTAAACCCAGTTTCGGTGGAAGATTGATTCATTACCCGCGGCAGAGTTTAGCGTAAAATTGTCCCGTGACAAATCTAATCCGATTGGGAGAATCTCAAATGACTTCAACCAATACTAAAGACTTCCTACGCATGTTCGTCACATGCTACGAACCCTAGTACGACACCGGCGAAAAAACAGTCCGGATTGCTCTCTCCAAATTAAAAAATATAATTTCGAGATAAAGTTGCCGGGAGTCCTCGATTATGTTACGATATTAAAATATTATTGAGTTTGCAAACTTTCAAATGACTCGAATTTCATGTATATTTCGCTCTCGTTAAAAATTAAACATCCATATATTTTGAAAGGTCAACGAAACTTTTAAAATTGTAAATAACAATATTGAGATTTGTAATGCTAAAATAAGCTTTATGTTTCAATTATCCCTTGTTTCAGTATTACACATTTATCATTATTTAATCACATTAGGCTAATCTGATCAGTGCCCATATAACGCTATTTATAATTATTTAATTACATTGATTTCGAAGTTTAGCAATTAATTAAGTCTTCAATGCTTCAGCAAGAATATTTTAATATCATTTTTGTTGCTCGTTAATTGACAATTGCTTTATAAATCTGGATGGATATAGTTTTGTTTTAGTAGTTAATTAAACTTTTTATATTTCAATGAATACATGAACATTGTTTCTTGTCCTGACTGACAATCAATTTATGTATATCAATATTCTCTTTTTCTTCTCTTTTACTGATTTTTTTTTATTATCCTTGCAAAACGTTTTCTCATTTCCCCTTTCCGCTGTGAAATAGAACTACTTGTTGCCTTCTTCCATGACAGAAAGAGAGAGAGAGAGAGAGAGAGAGAGAGAGAGAGAGAGAGAGAGAGAAAGTTATACATATATTTTCTTACAATTTAGACAATTTACTAAATAAACTCTTTACTAAAAAATACTCGCTAAAAAATACTAAAAAATTTACCTCGGAATCAGCTTGTCTTCAAGCATGCTGGGTAGATCGTCGCCGTCCTCGGTAAGCGCCGCGAAAAAATCTTGAAATTTATCCGGGAAGCTGCTCGGCGGACAGACGTTCATGGAAAGAACACGATCGGAAACATTCCGAGAAGTTCTCTCGACGATCTCATGACGATCCGCCACACTGAATGTTGCCATATATTCACTAGGAACTTCACAAGTTGTTATGCACCACCTACGACTTCTCTTTGCCACAAATCCGTTTTTCCCTCCATTCGCGCACACCGCACGTGGCCCTTCGCGAAAACTTCGCGTTGCGATAAACGGATCAGCAGAATCCAATTGCCGACGAGTTCCAGAAGGTGACGTGATCTAAATTCGTAAATGCACAGCTTTCACGCTCCACCTGGGAGCTGCCAAGAGCCTTAAACAACGCGTTAACTATTTCTAACTACTGATGCAACCTTTATTAATTTACAGCTAATTAATTTTACGTTTTACGCGACACAGGTCGACACAGGGATGAATCGCGTTACGTTTCCGATGGAAATCTATCGTTTTTGCATATCGCGTGACGAGGAGCAAAATGCAAAGCAGCCGCATGCAACACTTGCTGCTTTCACTCTCGTTCGAGAGCAGCTCGCGATATTAAAGCACACCCGAGTGTGTGCCGGTTCCGACGCTTCCGGATGCGCTCGTGGATGCGCGACGTGATCTACGGATCGAAGCACGTGCTCGTCGCTTCCGTCTTTCCTCGAGTAACTATAGCACCACGAGGGTAATTGAGATACAATGAGAGCGCCTCTCACCCGCAGAGCGGCCCGCAACCCTTTTCCCACGACGAGGACCTGGCGAAAACTAAAGCTCTCACGGTTGTTGCACGTCGTTCTGGCTCGGTACCTTGCCGGACTTGCGCAAGCGTGGTTCACCTCAAAACTCAGCAAACGGGTGGATTCGCGGTAACGTCGTAAAAGTGATAGTCTCCCTCTCATTCGCTCTAGTCATCGTAATTGTCATGGAGGTAAAGGAAGCTTTGTGGCGACCGACAACGTGGAAATGAGAAACGTAACCTGTCACACTGATACTTAACTTTGCAATTCCGTAATTTATCTCTTCGCCGAAACGCGAAAGGAGGAGGTATGCGAATGTAATGAGAAGTCTTTAGGGCAAATTTAAAATTGTACCTCGATGGCGAATGAGAGATTGTAAAACGACAATTTTTCAACGTTATCGAGGAGAGTGAGCGATAACGAAATTGTTGGGACAGTCTTCGCCAATTAGCTTCGTGCTACTTCGGCACTGCGTGTCACATGAATGGGGGAGGACATGAAGAGTAATTTGATCAATCTGGAGCTCGCGGTCACGAAACGCGTGTAACACGATAGAAAACCCACGATAAAATTAAGGCTGTGTGCATTGGAGATTCCACAGAAGCTTTTATCTTCCAATAATAGACGATCCGGCGTAACGCAGCAAGAACATAAAGCTCGAGCGAAATAGAGAAAAGTAGATTAGCAAAAATGGGATTTTCAAACGTCCTAAAAACCAATTAGGAAAAGTCTATTTGATTCTTGCATGCGTATACCTGAGCTCGTTAAACACCTTCGCGCCGAGGAAGATGAAGTCTTCATTTAGCTTCCGCTGAATGCACTGCTCAGTTTTACACATACAATGTTTAATGAGAAATTTCTCAAATTCAGTATTAGAAGCAATGTTCACTGTGTTTCTTTTGTGTAACACAAAGTGTGCAATATGCTTTGAATTGATTAAAAAGCTCATTTAATCTCGAGAGATATGGTGAAGAGAGAGAAGGTGAAAGAAGAAAGGGAGCAAGAGATGTGGAAAGGGAAAAGTAATTCAAGGAGCGTCGTAACAAGGAACATTCTCTCGGCTTCACCGAGATCCTCGTTCCCATATCTTCCTCCTATTCCGAAGGGAACAAGTATTGTTCAAGCTGATTACGTAGTCGACGTATATGGATGCGCGTCGCACGTAAGGGGGGGATAAACGATACTGAAATGTAAATTCATGAAATAAGAACGTTCTTGATGTACGGTGACAAGAGGGACGGCACTCCGTAACGACAAAGCTCCGGTTTTGGCACGAGAAGAGATTGCGGGTTGGTTTCCTCTTTTCGCGTTATTACCACATACAAGAAAGTCGTCCTCACTGTAAGAGCTATTTTTCCGAGAACTATGTTCTACGAGAAGAGAAGAATCTCACTGTAACAATCTCCACGTGAGGACGTATATACTTAGGAATTACCTTTGACGAGACGGTCTTTATTCTCAACGAGATGACTTTTCTTTTCCGTCGACGCTGACAAAGTCGAAAGCGAGATATTAAATATTTCGAATCAATTTAAATGCTCCGTATCGTAATCAGGCGCCATATGGCTTTCGACGTATAATCTTGGGGATTCGCGAGATTGACTGTTTGCGTAATGGCGATACAGCAATAGCGACAAAATGCTGTTATTCATCCTTGGAAATTATGGGGGAAATTAGATATTAGCAATTGATATTATTACGAATACAATGTGTAATAAATCTGTGTACAATTCGTGACACGTGCAGCCGAGTAAATATTAATATCGTTGCGAGAGCAAGGAGAATTATCTAGGTGGAAACGGTGGGAGGGGGGAGGGAGAGGGTAGTAGTGTCAACATTTTCCGGATTCCGCAACGGAGTGAGTTGCGGAATTAATTAACTTAGGAGACACGTTAACGGTACGTGTTAGTGGCATGTACGTCTTGCTCCGTACATGTTTTCGATACTTTGCATACTCGATATTCAAGACTGTGATTATTGGAGCGATATTAATTACGCAACACGTGCCCGTAAATCGAAAACAATGATCGCAATTGAGCAGTGTAATAACTAAACACGATAATAACTATCAACGAGATAATGATTTACCGCTACTTTCACGAGCGAACGAGATATCGTTAGTTCGTATAGTTATTTCTTCTTAACTAACTTTAAATGCGAGCAAATGAGATTTGTCATTCTATTATCGAGGAATTTTTCTTCATGAAACTTGAAGAATTTTCTACAGCTAAAAATCGTAATAGAAGTAAATTGGAAATTAATTCAGCAGGAGTCGATACAATTCTCAATAATAACAGATATTGCAATACGTACGTAATTAATTAACGAAAGATATTTCACCGCAATGATTAAATATTTATCAAGAGTACCGTTATTATTATGATTTATAAAGGATATAGCGAAAAGAAGGGCCAGCCATCAAGCATGAAGAGAGAGAGAGAGAGAGAAAGAGAGGGGAGAGAGAGAGAGAGAGAGAGAGAGAGAGAGAGAGAGAGAGAGGAGGCGATCCAGGCGAGCGCAGCTTGACCCCGTATGGCTCGTATTCGGGAGGCTTTTCCAATCCAGGGATCCAATCGATCCACGCACGTGGAGGGCTACGAGCTCGGAAACAAAACAGACCGCCTCGTGATAGGAGCAACAGTCTCCTGGCGGAACATCGATTAATATATAGTTATAGCAAATCGGTGGTACACGTTGTTCTAAGCCGTGACTCCCGTCCTTTGTAGGAAACACGTTTTACTCCGATTAAACTGATTAATTTAGTCTATGAGGGGGTGTCCTAAACAGATAGACAGTCATCCCTTGAAAACGCGGAACAGAGGGCATCGTGAAAGGAGCCACAGTCTCCGGGCAATGCATCGAACGCTCGGCAAATCATGACACGTGTTGTTCTAAACCGTGGCTCTCGTCCTCGGTAGGAAACACGTTTTGCTCCGATTAAATCGAGTTAATACAAACTATACTGGCTATAACTGTAAGGGTGTCTTATGCCCATTTTCAATCAACGTAGTTTAATCCCGACTTCAATTTTTCATTTTGTTTGAAGAATTAGGAAAACATGAAGAGTAAATAGAACCGAAATTAAAGTTAGTCTACGTTGGTAGAAGCGAGCATTAAACAGATAAGTCATCCCTTGGAAACAAAACAGAGCGCTTCGTGATAGAAACAGTCTCCGAGTGGAACATCGATTAATTCCCAGCTGTAGCAAATCGTGATACGCGTTGCCTAAGCCCGCCCTCCGTAGAAAATGGTTTTCTCCGAAAATTGAATTAGTCAACAGACTATGAGGGTATATTATTCTTTCGTAAAAATTTTATGTAATTCACCGGCCATAAGACAGAATTTCAAATTGGCGAATTATGTAAAATGATTATCCATTCGATACTATACTTACCATTAAATTAGCGCAAAATGGAAGAGAATACGAAGATAGAGAGGGAAATTCCTATTTTCCCTATTTCCGGGGGAAATTAAATACAATCTGCACGAGTCTACACGAGTTCTCAAGGATTCAAGACAGAAGACAGGCACGCAAGATGCGCAAGATACCTTTGGTATCTCTCAAAGCTTATAATATCGACATGTGTTGCGGATTACGTTACCGGAAAGCTAAATTATGATACTAACTGGTGGCGCACTGTGGGAGAAATTGCTCCGTCTCTGCCTGTCTCACACCCTTCGCTTTTATCTTTAACATAACACGACCTTCGCTTATCAACTTCGTTCACGAAACCTTTGAAGTTTGAAGGAACGCGGAATTTCCTCTACGTACCCAAAGCTCAAGCCCTCTCGTATCTTTCTTCCCCAGTCTCTACCTGGTAATTAATTGCCTCTAGAGGGATGACGACGACGCGATATAGAACGTCCGCTAAAGTATTAGAATTATTTTTAATCCAATTACTTTGCCGATTTCTTCTCACGTTAGAAGTCCCACTCTGAATCATCCGTGTGATGAAGAGGATGTAAAAGTTCATCTCCAATCCTCTTAGACTCTTAGTTACTCACCAAACGACTGTCGCACTCGTTGCTCCTCTCTCTCTCTCTCTCCCCCTATTCACCGCTCTTTCAGAAAATCTCAGTCCATAACGCGCGCATTCATTGTAACTCAGTTCGTAATATCGACAACCATATCTGCCATGACGCACGATGACTTATCATATATGTCTGTGCATCCCGGGAGCACGCAATATGTACGCACACCTGTACGCACGGCCGAGCAGGTGACAAGCGTGTCACTCGGTTCGGTGATTGGTAGATCGATAGGACTCTTGATTGAGTCTGGTGGTCGGGACCACCCCCGCCGTCTCCGTGATGTCAGCAGTCTCCGAAGCGCGATAAATAAAGGACCAACGATAAGTGGCGGCAAGCCAGTACGGGAGTTCCTATTCACAGACCGGTGACCCTTTCGAGAGTTCGCCGAGGCGAAAGGAGACTTTCCGGCCGCGTGAAGACAATGCACTGGCCTATCTTCATTGCTTATACTCGCTTCTTCTCCCTTTCTCTTCTCCTTTTTTTTTTTCCACGAAGCTA